ACTAACAGGCACAACAACCAACCAGTAACAAAAGGCAGGATCAAATTCAAACATAACAATGTTAACGTTAAATGTAAATGGTTGAAATGCCCCAATCAAAAGACACAGGCTGGCAAATTGGATAAAAACTCATGACCCATCAGTGTGCTGTATTCAGGCAACCCATCTCACATGCAAAGATACACACAGATTAAAAATAAAGGGATGGAAGAAGATTTACCAAGCAAATGGAGAGCAAAAAAAGGCAGGGGTTGCAATCCTAGTTCCTGATAAAATGGACTTTAAACCAACAAAGATCAAAAGAGACAAAGAAAGACATTACATAATGGTAAAAGGATCAATGCAGCAAGAAGAGCTAACTATTCTAAATACATATGCAACCAATACAGGAGCACCCAGATACATAAAGCAAGTTCTTAATGACCTACAAAGAGACTTAGACTCCCGCACAATAGTGGGAGACTTTAACACTCCACTGTTAATATTAGACAGATTAATGAGACAGAAAATCAACAAGGATATCCAGGACTTGAACACAGATCTGGACCAAGTGGACCTAATATACATCTATAGAACTCTCCACCCTAAATCCACAGAACATACATTCGTCTCAGTACCGTATTGCACTTACTCTAAAATTGACCACATAATTGGAAGTAAATCACTCCTTAGCAAATGCAAAAGAACAGAAATCATAACGAACAGTCTCTCAGATCACAGTGCAAATTAGAACTCAGGATTAAGAAATTCATTCAAAACCACACAACTACATGGAAACTGAACAATTTGCTCCTGAATGACAAATGGATAAACAATGAAATGAAGGCAGAAATAAAAACGTTCTTTGAAACCAATAAGAATGAAGACACAACATACCAGAATCTCTGGGACACATTTAAAGCAGTGTCTAGAGGGAAATTTATAGCAATAAATACCCACATGAGAAGTGAGAAAAGATCTAAAATCGACACCCTATCATCAAAATTGAAAAAAGCTAGAGGAGCAAGATAAAAAAAAAACTCAAAAGCTAGCAGAAGACAGGAAATAACTAAGATCGGAACAGAACTGAAGGAGATAGAGACACAAAAAAACCTTCAAAAAATAATTAAATCCAGGAGCTGGTATTTTAAAAAGATCAACAAAATAGACCACTAGTCAGACTAATAAAAAGGAAAAAAAGATAAGAATTGAATAGACGCAATAAAAAACAACAAAGAGGAGATCACCACTGATTCCACAGAAATACAAACCATCATCAGAGAATACTAAAAACCAGCCCTATGCACATAAACCAGTAAATCTGGAAGAAATGGATAAATTCCTGGACACTTGCACCCTCCCAAGACTAAACCAGAAAGAAGTTGAAACCTGAATAGACAAGTAACAAGGTCTGAAGTTGAGGCAGCAATTAATAGCCTACCAACCAAAAAATCCAGGTCCAGATGGGTTCACAGCCGAATTCTACGAGATGTATGAAGAGGAGCTGGTACTATTCCTTCTGAAATTATTCCAAATAATACATAAAGAAGGAATCCTCCCTAACTCATTTTATGAGACCAACATCATCCTGTTACAAAACCTGACAGAGACATAACTAAAAAAGAAAACTTCAGCCCAATATCAGTGATGAACATTGATGCAAAAATCTTCAATAAAATACTGGCAAACCAAATGCAACAGCACATCGAAATGCTTATCCATCACAATCAAGTAGGCTTCTCCTGGGGATGCAAGGCTGGCTCAACATACCCAAATCAATTAATGTTATCCATCACATAAACAGAACAAAAGACAAAAAACACATGATTATTTCTATAGATGCAGAGAAGGCCTTCGACAAAATTCAACAGCCCTTTATGTTAAAAACCCTCAATACACTAGGTATCAATGGAACATGTCTCAAAATAATAAAAGCTATTTACAACAAACCCACAGCCAATATCATATTGAACAGGCAAAAACTGGAAGCATTCCCTTTGACAACTGGCATTAGACAAGGATGTCCTCTCTCACCACTCCTATTCAGTATAGTATTGGATGTTCTAGCCAGAGCAATTAGGCAAGAAAAAGAAATAAAAGGTATTCAATTAGGAAAAGAGGAAGTCAAATTGTCTCTATTTGCAGATGGCATAATCATATATTTAGAAGACCCCATTGTCTCAGCCCAAAACCTCCTCAAGCTGATAAGCAACTTCAGCAAAGTCTCAGGATACAAAAATCAATGTGCAGAAATCACAAGCATTCCTATACACCAATAACAGACTAAAAGAGAGCCAAATCATGAGCAAACTCTCATTTACAATTGCTACAAAGAGAATAAAATACCTAGGAATACAACTAACAAAGGATGTAAAGGACCTCTTTAAGGAGAACTACAAACCACTGCTCAACGAAATAAGAGAGGACACAAACAGATGGAAAAACATCTGATGCTCATGGATAGGAAGAATCAATACCGTGAAAATGGCCATACTGCCCAAAGTAATTTATAGATTCAACACTATCCCCATCAAGCTACCATCGACCTTCTTCACAGAACTGAAAAAACAAACAAACAAACAAACAAACAAAAAAAACACTTTAAATTTCATATGGAACCAAAAGAGAGCCTGCATAGCCAAGACAATCCTAAGTAAAAAGAACAAAGCTGGAGGCATCATGCTACCAGACTTCAAATTAGACTACAAGGCTACAGTAATCAAAACAGCATGGTACTGGTATCAAAACAGAGATACAGACCAATGGAACAGAACAGAGGTCTCGGAAACAATGCCACACATCTACAACCATCTGATATTTGACAAAACTGGCAAAAACAGGCAATGGGTAAAGGATTCCATGTTCAGTAAACGGTGTTGGGAAAACTGGCTAGCCATGTGCAGAAAGCAGAAACTAGACCCCTTCTTGACACCTTACACTAAGATTAACTCCAGATGGATTAAAGACTTAAACATAAGACCTAACATCATAAAAACTCTAGAAAAAAACCTAGGCAATACCATTCAGGACATAGGCATAGGCAAGGACTTCATGACTAAAACACCAAAAGCAATAGCAACAAAAGCCAAAATAGACAAATGGGATCTAATTAAACTTAAAGAGTTTCTGCACAGCAAAAGAAGCAATCATTAGAGTGCACTGGCAAACAATGTTTGCCATCTACCCATCTGACAAAGGGTTAATATCCAGAATCTACAAATAACTAGGCATATTTACAAGAAAAAAAAACACACAACCCATCAAAAAGTGGGCAAAGGATATGAACAGACACTTTTCAAAGTAAGACATTTATGCCGCCAAAAAACATATGAAAAAATGCTCATCATCATTGGTCATTAGAGAAATGCAAATCAAAACCACATTGAGATACCATCTCACACCAGTTAGAATGGTGTTCATTAAAAAATCTGGAGACTAACAGATACTGGAGAGGATGTGGAGAAAAAGGAACACTTTCACACTGTTGGTGGGAGTGTAAATTAGTTCAACCATTGTGGAAGACAGTGTGGCAATTCCTCAAGGATCTAGAAATAGAAATTCCCTTTGATCTAGCAATCACATGACTGGGTATATACCCAAACGATTATAAATCGTCCTATTATAAAGACACATGCACATGTATATTCATTGCAGCACTGTTTACCATAGCAAAGACCTGGAAGCCACCCAAATGCCCATCAATAATAGACTGAAGAAAGAAAATGTGGCACATATACACTGTGGCATACTATACAGCCACAAAAAACAACGAGTTTGTGCCCTTTGTAGGGACATGTATGAATCTGGAAACCATCATTCTCAGCAAACTGACACAGAACAGAAAAGCAAACATTGCATGTTCTCACTCATAGGAGGGTGTTGAACAATGAGAACATGTGGGCACTGGGAGGGGAACATCACACACTGGCGTAGGTTGTGGGATGGGGGGCTAGGGGAGGGACAGTGAGGGGCAGGGAGGCTGGGGAGGGAAAACACTGGAGGAAATGCCTGATGTAACCGACGGGGGAACAGAGACTGCAAACCACCATGGTATGTGTGTACCTATGCAACAACCCTGCGGGATGTGCACATGTACCCTAGAGCTTAAAGCACAATAAAAAAGAAGAAAATGGTCCACAATTAGGAACAATCAAGAAATCATTCTTCTGTTTTTACTTCATTATCCTTAAAAGTCATAAGCAATAGTCTGTTTTTACCAATGGACACCATTGGAATTTCACAAGAACTGCATGTATAAATTTCTATGATATTCTAAGCCATTTACTTTATCATTATAAATATAATCATATTTAATAGTAATTGAGTACCTCCAATGTGCAGCAATTGCAAACCGAATGACAAAAATACAACATGAGCATAGCAGGGATCAGTATACTATTGCCTGTGAACCAAATCTGGCCTACCAGCTGTTTTTGCATATAAAGTTTTATTGGAATGCAGCCTGAGCCATTTGTTTACATGTAATCTATGGCTGCTTCTTGATATATTGGCAGAGTTGATAGTGGTAGAGATGGTATGGCCTGCAAAGATTAAAGTATTTGTGATCTAGTCCTTTATAGAAAAGATTTGCCAACCCTGCCTTTATAATAAAGGTGTTAAATGATTTTTGTACCAACTTTAAGTATCAACACAAATTAAGAAGGAATTAAAAGAGAGGCTGCTGTACATTCAGGTCCTTTTAGGCTTATGCCTGATGCTCCATGGACAAACAAGAAGTAGGATAAATGCTATACTTCTCTACAAGCAGTTCTTGCTGGACTATGGGAGCACTGCTATTCCCCACTGAGATAACAAAAATTCCCATTGGTAAGCTACCAAACAAATGCCTACCACCAGAGGTGTATAATCTTCCTTCCTTTTAGGAGCTGGGAATTTTAGCTTATGACTCATTCTTTGTTGTTGAAAATATTGTGATTCATAATATATTAATAAGCATCACAACTAATTTAAAATAGTCATTATTGTTACAATTAAAATAGAAGAAAAAGCACATGTGTTACCTGTATGTTGTTCTTCAATCCAGACTTGCAAATACATGAAGAGGAGTAGCCCAGCTACTCCAAATATCAGCACAGAGAGGAAGACTTGTTTGGGGTTCATGACCATTTCAGATGGCTGCATTTCTCCTCATTTCAGAATCTGAAGACCACATGATTTGTTTTCCCATCAGGCTTCAGTCTTTTCTTGTTCTTTAAGGGTCCATTCCATAAAGTAACCTAGAATTTTAAAAAGAAATCTACATTGTACATGTCTCCTAACATCAATTCTCAAATATGGTATAAATATGCAGTATCTCAACAATTCTGAAGAGTTAATGTGCACAGTAATGCTCTGAAGACAGAAAAGGCTGTAGTAGATGTTTCTAGAATGGCAATTTTCTGTCATATACTTTATCTTATCTAAGGACTGTATTATCCTACAATTAATGAGTAAGATTCTAACATTTAATTAGGCAATGTCTGGCCAGACTTAAGCCCTCCTATACTGTAAAGTGTAAAGTAAGGTTTGGAATAACTTAGAATAATTTCAAGTAGGAAGAATAACAGGATGGGTTGTTAAAGAATGGGTTTTGAGAAACATGTTTGGAGAATTATAAGGAAAAATCACTTCATGTCTTAAGAATATATAAAGTTCAAAAATGGAAGGTATAATCTATCATTTTCTCTCATATAAAGTAACACATTTCTTCCATTGAAAGGACACATTTCAAATTCTTCAGAGGCATAAAAAGATAAATATTAAAAGGCCAGGGTTCAAGGAACTCTCCCACAGTAACATGAAATTATTGAAATCTACCTCAGATTATAGAAATCTACCTCAGTAATAAAGAGCTACTTAAAAAAAATACTGAAATGACTTTTCTTTAGAACAATCTCATTTAATATAACATTAACCTTTTATTTTTTTAATCACATCCATTTTTGAGAATCTGATGAAAATGTGAGCCCTTTCCTTAGAAAAGTATAATCACACACAAAGTCTTGCATAAAATGCCAAAGTGTTCATGTACCTTCACTGAAACCCACGTTAAAAATCCCTGTTCCCCAATGAGGACACCTGGACGCAGGGAGGGGAACATCACACACCAGGGCCTGTTGGGGGTGGGGAGTAAGCGGAGGGAGAGCATTAGAACAAATATCTAGTACATGTGGGGCTTAAATCCTAAATGATGGGTTGATGGGTGCAGCAAACCACCATGGCACATGTACACCTATGTAACAAACTTGCATGTTCTGCATGTGTATCCTGGCACTTAAAGCAAAATAAAATTAAAATTAAAATTAAAAAACAAGCAAGCAAAAGAATCCCTATTCCCAATGAACTGCACAAAAGTATGCAGTAACCTGCAGAGTGAGCACACCTGGTTAGCAGCCCGGCTAATGGGACCAAGGTCATGGCTTTGTATTTAATGCTGGCCAGAAACCCTGGCTCTGTTCCTCAGCCACAGAACACAGCTCCTCTGGGTGAGTTAAATAAATGTTTCTTCAATATGAAGATACCATGCACATTGCAGCATCTAGAAGTTATCTCTTCTATTCCATTGCCTCAAAATCTTTGAGGAGAGTCTTTGAGGGAAAATATCGATTTTGCCTGTTTAAGAGGTGTTTGATGGGGTGCCAGTTAAAAGTTAAAAACTGCTATGGGAAATTGCTAGTCTGGTTAAAGGATAATATTTAGCTATTCATGGCAAAACCAATTTTCAGGGCTGGGCAAGGTGGCTTATGCCGGTAATCCTAATACTTTGGAAGGCTGAGGTAGGAGGATTGCTTGACCCCCGAGAATTCAAGACCAGCCTGGGCAGCATAGTGAGCCCTGTCTCTAAAAAACATAAAATATATTTTTAAATTAGTCCAGCGTGGTGCCATGTGCCTATAGTTCCAGCTACCGGAGAGCCTGAGGTGGGAGAATCACTTGAGCCCAGAATGGTGGAGGCTGCAGTGAGCTGTGATCAGGCCACTGCACTTCAGCCTAGGCAACAGAGCAAGACTGTGTGTCAAATAAATAAATAAATGAAAATTAAAAAAAAAAAAACTGTAGCTCATATCCATGATACCACATTTAACTCTATGATTCTAGAATTGCTCATCTCTTAAAGGAGCTCACAAAGTGAGCTGAGAAATAAGAAATCTGAGAAATAAGAGCATGAAATGACTCAATTGAAGCCCTCCTGTCAACCCTGAGTTCCTACAGTCCTTAGGGCTGGCATTTCCCTTGAGTCTGAAAGGTTGTGGCTGCAGTGAGTGGTGATTGTGCCACTGTACTCCACCCTGGGCAACAGAGCAAGATCCTGTCTCAAAAAAATACAAAACAAAAAACCAATTCTCACACAAATGGGCTTCAAAGGTAATGTAAAAGGTCAGAATTAGAAGTGAATCTATTAAGTAATTAGAATGATTTCTTGATTAGAAAAAGAGGTCATCAAATAGTTTAAAGTTTTTGTGCAGAATGAGAAAAAATTCATGTCATGAATACTTCTTTTCCTTTTTTTTGAGATGGAATCTCGCTTTGTCACCCAGGTTAGAATACAGTGGTGTGGTCTTGGCCCACTGCAACCTCCACCTCTCGGGTTCAAGCGATTCTCCTGCCTCAGCCTCCTGAGTAGCTGGAACTAAAGCTGCGAGCCACACCCAGCTATTTTCTGTATTTTTAGTATAGACAGTATTTCAGTATTTTACCATATTGTCCAGGCTGGTCTTGAACTCCGGACCTCAGGTGACCTGTCTGTCTCAGGCTCCCAAAGTGCTGGGATTACAGGTGTGAGCCACTGCACCTGGCCTAGTTATTTTTCTTTATATATATATATATATATATATACACATTTTTTTTTTTTTTTTTTTTTTTTTAGATGGAGTTTCATTCTTGTTGCCCAGGCTGGAGTGCAATGGCACAATCTCGCAATCTCGGCTCACTGCAACCTCTGACTCCTGGGTTCAAGTGACTCTCCTGTCTCGCCTCCCAAGTAGCTGGGGTTACAGGCATTTGCCACCATGTCTGGCTAATTTTTTATTTTTAGTAGAGACGGGATTTCTCCATTGTTGGGCAGACTGGTCTGGAACTCCTGACCTCAGGTGATCCACCTACCTTGGCCTTCCAAAGTGCTGGGATTATAGGTGTGAGCCACTGTGCTCGGCCTTATTTTTCTTTACATTTTAACTCTGACCTGGAAGGGGCCAGAGTAAGATCTGTTTGTCAGCGCTACTTAAGACGCTTTCTCAAATCCACTTCTCTGAGTTCTGTGAGGAAGGAGAAACTGTTCGCTAGTGCTTTTGAGGATTTTAGGCATTTCCTTGATTCAGGTAGTAAAGAAAGTTTTTAAATAAGTAGAATAGCCGAGAGTATTATCATACTGTTTATTTGATGGGTGATACTTTGCTTTTATATTAAATCTAAACTAAAATATTATGGGCTTCAAAATATATGTAACAAAGAAAGTTCCCAAAGGAGATTTGCAGTTTGAGGTGTTCCAGATTGAATCCCTCGAGAGAAGCTAAGAAATGATGCCAGCTTTCTCTTCTCTTGAGGCTGCCATTAAACAATGAACAGAAATAATTCCCAGGTCCATAAGAAGATTCAGATAGGAGGAAACCAGTTAAACAAAATCTAGTACTAACAAAGAAATAGTTGTTTACAAGAAGAAAGAGACTTTTACAATCTGTCTACATAATTAAAACTTATCTCACAAGAGAAAAGGCTAGAAGAAAACTCATAAATCAAAGCAGAGCTACAAACCCATGGGAATGGTGGGTGTAAGAGCCAAAAGGAGTACTCCTTGGGGGTTTGCAGAAGAAAATTATTACCTACGATGCTGGAAAAAGATTAAGAATTTGCCCTTCCTTTCTTCAGGAGATGCTACTATCCTTTGACATATCCTCCTGGGTGAGAAAGCAGTAGAAAACCCATAATTGTTATTATGGCAGATGTGAGTAGGATTGAGTGAATAAAGCCACAAGGCAGAAAGGCAATCTGGCGTAAAATGGAGAGATATGTTTGATTTTCTCCCATCTCAGTCCATTAACCCAACGTTGGCATTAGGAAATGGCTCTCATTAAACAAAGGTGAGGTGGTAGGAGCAGGAGGATTGCTTTAAGCAAATCTGAAGGTCAGCTGTGATGGGAAAACACACCTATTTGGAGATCATATATCTATCTCCAAGCCTGCGGAAAAAGTGCAGACTACTGGAGATTGAAATTACTTGGAATAATGCTGCTTTATGTACGAGCATTATACATTTCTACAGCCAAATGCTTCCTCTATTTTGTATAACTCCTTCCTCTCCCTCTCATAAACACAATACCTTGAGCTTAATAGGTACTTAACAACTTGTTGCATTGAACTGAATTTGGAGCGCCAATAACAAAATACAGGTAATTGATACTTTTTATAGTTGTATTTGTAAATCCTTAGTCCTAACCTCCAAATGAAGAAATAGGGAGAAATAAAGATAGGATCCATGTTTCTTTGTTAAAAATATTTTTATTTGCATATCTTTTTATCTCTAACAATTATGAAAAGAAATATAATTATTTCATTCTGTCATCTCTTTTCCAAAAGTTTAAAAATTATTCTTTTAAGTAATTGTGGCTACAAACAGAAGTATATGGTGATTAAAGTATAGCAATAAATTACTTGCTGAAGGCAATTTACATATAGGAAATTATGAGTTTCCCAGTTTAGCAGACATTTATGATTTTAGGGAAGGAGTGGTGGGGTTTTGGGGCAGGTCAGTGTGGATCAAATGATGCAGGCAGTTTAGCATGAAGAAACGAGGAGTCGGGGGCTTGCTGTTCCCAGAGCGTTGGTAGCCCCCTTCTCACACCTCCCACAGCAGCCCCACCATCTTCTATCTCCTTCCCACTCTCTAGGTAAACAGAGACCATCAGGGATGAACTCAACTCCCTCAGTTTACTACCACCCCTTACAAGTTGACCTTCATCAGTCCACATCCACACATCTTTGCCTCTGTCTCTGAAAAGCAAGAGTCCTCACTTTTGCCTCCATCTTTTCCAGGTTCTGGTGAAACACAACTCCATCAACACCTCCAGTTTGATCTTATCCTCAACCTCTTTCCCCAGTGACTCCTTTCTCTGCAAAACCCTCCAGCAGTCACCCCACTGCTATCATTCCCAGACAAGCTGCAAGACAGGTACTGACCTGACTGCCCCGGTGCCTCGTCTCCTGTTCATTTCTCAATGCACCGCTGCCCAGGAGGTGAGAG